TGTCAGCAGGAGGAGTCTCGCCGTTCCGCTTTCGTAGAGGTCTGTTCTGCGTGCTGTTCTTAGCTCTGCCCTGACAGAGGGGGCTGTTTGCGTGCCGACGTCTGCCTTCGCCTGCGTGTCCGTTCCTGGGTGCGTTAGCTCAGCGCTTTGTCCTCTTCAAGGTGCAGCACGTGGTGTCTCAGAACTGTGATGGGCTGCACCTGCGGAGCGGGTTACCCCGGGCAGCGATATCGGAGCTTCACGGAAACATGTACATAGAGGTGAGGAGCCCGAGCAGGATGGGGGTGCTGCCCCGTGGCCTGGCAAGAAGGCAGCGCGAGCTCTTTAGCTCGTGCGAGGAGTTAGCGCAGGGGTTTGCGTCTGCTTGGCCCACCCCTTCAGCCATCAGGTTTGGGGTGAAGCAGCCAGCAGGCACCAAAGCAGAGTGTTCTGTGCGACCCGGCGGCTTTCTCGCTGCACTTGCCAGAGCCTTCTGCCTGCCTCTTCCTCAGACCTCCAAAACCCGCCCTGTCGCGTAGCCAACAGGCTCCCTCTAATTCCGCTTGCTAGTTGAGGTTTTCCAAACTTTTCCGAGTTGGCGTCTGCCCCCTGATGATCCCTTCTGCTGCTCCAGTTTCCTGCCCCCAGAAGCGCTTGGTTTCTGCGCGAAGCAGCTGGCTCCTGGCCTGCAGGGGCAGGATGCTGGCGACGTAACGGGCGTCTTGCTCTCGTCCCACACCAGGTCTGCACTTCCTGTACGCCCAACAGAGAGTACGTGCGAGTGTTCGACGTGACGGAGCGCACGGCCCTGCACAGGCACCTCACGGGCAGGATGTGCCACAAGTGTGGGGCACAGTTGAGAGACACAATCGTCCACTTTGGGGAGAAGGGGACGTTGAGGCAGCCCCTGAACTGGGAAGCAGCAACAGAAGCTGCAAGCAAAGCAGATGTGATTCTTTGTCTGGGTTCCAGCTTAAAGGTAACTTTAGAGACTCGGTGAAGATTGTTAGCAGCATCCCCTCTTGGTGATACACCTTGGTGCTGAGCAGTCTCCTCCCAGACAGACAACTCTAAACTCTGGTGTCAGGATTCGCCCACCATCTGTGATAGTCTCTCTTCCTCCCTCTTTCCCCTCCTGGTAATACATTCCTTTTCCTCTCGCCGATACGGTGCGCGGCTGCGCTGCCTTTGCTGCGCTGAGGGTCTCTGTTCTGCGCAGGTGCTGAAAAAATACCCCTGTCTCTGGTGCATGAGCAAACCGCCCGCGCGCCGGCCCAGGCTCTACATCGTCAACCTGCAGGTGAGGGCCCCCAGGCCGCGTGGGA